CTTGCAGAAAAATTAAACAAGACCCATACCTCACCCAATACACAAAAGCAAACTCAAGCTGGATCAAAGACCTAAATGTAAAACCCCAAACTATAAAGTTCATCAAAGATAAAATAGGAGCAAATCTAGGAGTCCTAATTTACGGCATAAATAGACTATCAAACATAACTCAGAATGCACAGGAGGTAGAAGAGAAGCTAGATGACTGGGGACCTTTTAAAAATTAAATTCTTATGAGCATCAAAAGACTTTGTCAAAATGGTAAAAAGAGAACCTACAGATTGGGAGAAAATATTTGCCCATGACATATCTGAGAAAGGACTTATCTCCAAAATCTGTAGAAATCTTCACCTCCACACCAAAAAGACAAACAATCCACTTCACAAATGGGCAAGAGACGCGAACAGACACTTCACTAAAGAGGATATGCTGGTGGCCAACAAACACTTGAGGCATTGCTCATGATGTTTAGTCATTAGAAAGATGCACATCAAAACAATGATGAGATAGCGTCTCACCCCAGCAATAATGGCAAAGTTCAACAGGACAGAAAATAACAAATGCTGATGAGGTCACGGAGATTGGAACTCTTGTGCACTGCTGGTGGGATTGTAATATGGTACAACCATTGTGGCAAACAGTATGGCATTTCCTTAAAAAACTGAAAATAGAAATACCATTTGAATCAGCAATTCCATTACTAGGAGTATATCCTAAAGAAGTGAGAGGCAGGACACGAACAGACATATGCACACCTATGTTCATTGCAGCACAATTCACTATAGCAAAGAGACGGAAACAACCTAAATGCCCATAAAGAGATGAATGGATAACCAAATTATGGTACATTTAGACAATGGAATACTACACTATATTAAAGAATAATGAAGGATACACAAATCATCTCACAATGTGGATGAGCTTGAGGACATTATGCTGAGTGAAATAAGTCAATCACAGGACAAATATTGTATGAGCCTATTACTGTAAAAAGACAAAGGTTTGTTTAAGGAAGGGAACTCACATTATAGGTTGCTGGCAGGGGAGAGAAGGGGAGGGAATAATTTTGGGCTAATTGGGCATCACACGCTGAGTTGGGCAAGGGGAAGGATGGTATGGAAAGTGTCTGTAACCACCATAATAACATTGGGGAAAGGGAGGACACAGAATTGTGCACGTAAGATATCGATGACAGAGGCTAATAACTAGTATATCCATGATACCATTAACACCAAACACCAGGCTACAGATAAACACATAAATATCTGAGGAGATCAGATGGGGGTCAGTGAACAGGATTATACTCTAGACCAAGGATGATTCAGCTGAGGCTAATCTTGCACAGATATCATTGATACAAAATACCCCTAATCCTTACAGAAACAACAGAAGAAAGACGTAGCACAATCCCACACAGCCAGCCAGCCACTGTGGGACAAAGATTCAGCGGATCTACCGACTCAGGGCCATGGTATTGGGGGATACCAGATTCAATTGGTAAAACAAAATACATAAAAATCTTGTTCCACAGCTTACGTTGTTGAGTAGCAACTAGGGTCTTAAAAGCTTTCAAGAAGCCATCTAAGATGCAGGTAATGGTCTCCTATTGTCAGAAGCAAAGAAGAGTGCAAAAAACCAAGGGCCTTTGGAAACAATCAGCCCTAGGACATGATGGACCTTGAGACCAAAAGAACTAGATAGTGCCTGGCTATCAATGCCAACCACTTGGCAAGGGATCAAAACTGGAGATCCGAGATAGAGTGGGAGGAAAAACATGGAATAAAATCCAAAAACACAGTAATGACCAGAATTACTGGTTGCATGGAGACTGGAGGGACCTGCAATCCTGTGGCCCTGGGATACACTTTGGGCCTGGAATAAAACTTACTTCCAGGGGCTTTCTCTCAGCCCAATAGTAAATAAGACATGCACGTAGACCACTCA